CTCCTCCTCCTCAGCATTCCTCCGTCTCTTTCCTCCTCCTCCTCCTCCCTCCTCCTCCTCCTTCTCTTTCTCCTCCTCCTCCTCCTCGCCCTCAACCTCCTCCTCCTCCTCCTTCTCCTTCTCCTCCTCCTCCTCCACCTGCGAGCGCATATTCTGACATATTCCACGAACTCATCCTCAAACGGCTTTGGACATGGTTTCCAGATGAAGAATTGCCTCAATCCGTACGTGTTCGTTGTCTTATGCTTCGTGCGATGCTAGCCAAGCCAGCCCCTGCAAAGATCTGGGCCCACTTGAAAACTTGGGCTGGGGGTGGATCATCAGCCCTAGGGTCAAGATGATTGCTCCACTACCGTGCAGGTGTACATGTCCGAATTCCCCTGTCGATTCGTCTCTCTGCCTCTCCTGCCCTCGCCTGCCTCATGAGATCGCCCTGCCCCGTCTTCTTATCCCGAACCCTCCTCCTTTCCTATACGGTCGGACCGAGGTATCAGATCGAGGTCACTTCGGGGAGGGTGCCCTACTGCTCCCCGTGTTTGTTCGATGTTCTTGTGCATCCGGGGACGGGCACCCTCGAATGTTTTCTTCAGTTTGGCAGGCGGACGGTCTCATTTTCTTGAAGGATGTCTTTCTGCCCTAGGTCCTGCCGCAGCTTGGCTTGGGGGCGGAGAAAGATTATCAAAATATTGAAGCGCCCGCGAACGTAGCCCAGAATATCGTGGATCTTGCGTATCCGTTCTTCCATCAGCCCCGTGTCGAGCTGATCGAGGCCCCACATCAGCTCGGCAGCTACACAGTTCAGCTTTCCATCGCCATGCGGCGCTCACGAGGCACTAATTCATAGCTCGCCTAGGGACCTGCGTTCCTCTTCCTCCTCCTCCTCCTCCTCCTCCTCCCTTTCCTCCTCCTCCTCCTCCTCCTCCTCCTCCTCCTCCTCCTCCTCCTCCTCCTCCCCCTCCTCCTCCTCCTCCTCCTCCTCGTCCTCCCTCCTTCTCCCTCCTCCTCCCTCATCCCTCCTCCCTTTTCGACCTCATCCTCCTCCTCCTTCCTGCGTCCTTCTTGCCACCGTCCTCCCCTCCTCCTCCTCCGCCTCACAGTGCCTCCTCGCCCCTCCCGCGCACGCCCCCCGTGCGGAGGAGGAAGAGGAGGGGAGGAGGTGGAGGAAGGAGACGGCACATGCGAAGGGGTAGCACCAGGAGGGAGGAATTGCCCAGGGACGCACCGGACCCATTTTGTGATCCGCGTAAGGCGTTCCTTCCGCTGGGTCTCCCAAGAGCTCACGAAAGTGGCGACAGCTGCGCAGCTGGCAGTTCTCAGGGAGAGTAAGTCTAGTATGTGTCTATGTCTGGCCTTGCTCTGTTGGACACCTGAGGAGCTCACGAAAGTGGCGACACTTGCACAGATGGGAGCGCCCAAGGAGAAGAGATGGAAAGATCAGTCTTCTTCAAACCTTGCTCCGCTCAAGCTCCCAGGAGCTCACGAAAGTGGCGACGGCTACGCAGCTGGCAGCTCTCAGGGAGGGATATCCAATACATATGTGTCCGTTTGAGGCAGTGCTCAATTGGACCTCCGAGAAGCTCACGAGAGTGGCGACAGCTGCGCGATCGATTATGTATGGCACCCCGCTGGACCTCCCAGGAGCTCACGAAAGTGGCAACAGTTGATCAGCTGGAGGCGCCCAGGAAGGGGAGGTGGAAATCTGAGTCCCCTTGAAAGCCGGTCTCCGCTGGACCTCCCAGGAGTTCACAAAAATAACGACAGCTGCGCAGCTGCTAGCTCCCAGGTAGGGTAGGTGGACATTCTCGCCCGTTCAAGGCCGCATTCTGCTGGACCTCCCATGAGTTCACGAGAGCGGCAACACTTGCGCAGATGGCAGATCCTAGGGAAGGGGGAGGGGGAGGAGGAAGCAGAGGTGCAGCAGCGCTTCATTGAAACTAGTTTGCTTCCACCGATCCCCACCCAAGAACGCGAGGCGGGAACCCCAGGAAGTACCGGTATCCATTGGGCCTGACGGCCGCGGCATGCACTCGTGCCCACAGTATGGAGGGCGAGAACGCGAAAGATGGTGGAGTTGTTGGAGGAGGAAGATGTAAAGGAGGAGGCTTGGGAGAAGCACGAGCGCGAGGAAGGGAAGAATGGTAAGGTGAGAAGGGAGAACGAGGGGAAGGAAGGAAAACAGCGGAGAGAAAGGAAAGGCGCGGGGCAAGAGGAACGGAGAGACAGCGAGGGGCAATACGGAAAGGGGGAGGGGGGAGGACGGCGACGATGGCGATGACGAAGAGGACTTGGAGTTGAAGGTAGGTGGAGAAGACGGGGAGGAGGGGGGAAGGAAGAGGATGAGGAGGAGAAGGGTTTGACGACGACGGCGGCGGAGCGGGGGGTGGCGGAGGAGCACCAGGAGGAGGAGGAGGAGAAGGAGGAGGAGGAGGAGGAAGAATGCCCAGTCGAGGTGGACCAGTTCATCCTGATGGTGCAGGCGGTCCAAGCGGCGCCGTCGCCAGTCGGCCAACGCTAAGGGCCAGGGGCACCCTGGAACAACCAGCTAGACCTCACCAGGGGGAAAGACAAGTACACACGGATTGCTTGCGCGTTCCCGGGCTAATGCAATATGGGCCTCACCAAAAATCGCTTCCGAGCTCGATTTCTTCAGAGAGGTGCGTACGATAACATGTGAGGAACAAGAGGCGAGAATGAGGGAAGGGGGGAAGGAGGACGAGGAGGATGGAGGATCAACAGGTTGATGAGGAGGACGGCTAGAACCACAAGCTCCTAGCCGTTGGAGCAAACCATGTAACTCTAATGTGAGTGAGCCCACTCAGGTTGAAGCCGACGTGTTCAAACATATTGGACATAACTCAACACTGCTGAAGCCAAGCCTAATATCAGTGGGACGTATCGGAGAAGACGTTTGTCGTTGCACGCATGGGCAGACGAATGCAATATCGAATGCGTGTTTCAAACTGCTACCATGCGGAAGAAGCATTCCCAGCACAAGTGGCAAAGAAAATAGTGCTTAATGCACACATCATAGCTGGCTTCAGGCTCTTAGAATCTTAGACAACAGTCTCGACACACAAGTCTGAAACCATCGAACAATCTGGCGGTTTTCGAATCAGTGCTTGTTATCCGTCACGCACGATTTGCATGTGTGCTTGAAGCAGTCACGTTGAACTACCACTGTGACATATTACAGTGCACCACATGTTCAACAAGTGCACCATACACGCTACTAAACAAGGCCCAGCAGCAAAGACAGCGAGGGCGGCCGCCGATACTCGCAGCTGAGCTTGATTCGGGGAAGCGCTAATGCGAATATGTCTGCATGCAAACTTTTATCCTTATCCGTAAGGGCTTCGCCCCCTGCCGCCGGCCCCCTCTCTCGGAGAATGGGCCATGGAAGAGCTAAGTCATGAGGTCTTGGCGCTGTCGTGAAGCAGTATCGAAACTTCATGCGAAGCCGATTCGCAATCAGCAAAACCAACTGATCACAAGAGGGGTTACCACACCTGGCGATTGGTAAGACGTGTATGGTTTACGGGCTTGGTTACCACACCTTGCGATTAAAGGGCCGCGGGAGTTCTCGCAGTTTGGGTTACCACGCCTTGCGATGGATGTGCGTGAAGGGTGGCACCGAATTTCAGAAATGTGGCAAATCCCCTGTGTTTTTGGACCCTGACCCCGCGGATCTGCGTAAGGGGTGGCGCCGAATTTCAGAAATGTGGCAAATCCCATGTGTTTTTGGACCCTGACCCCGCGGATCTGCGTGAGGGGTGGCACCGAATTTCAGAAATGTGGCAAATCCCATGTGTTTTTGGACCCTGACCCCGCGGATCTGCGTGAGGGGTGGCACCGAATTTCAGAAATGTGGCAAATCCCATGTGTTTTTGGACCCTGACCCCGCGGATCTGCGTGAGGGGTGGCACCGAATTTCAGAAATGTGGCAAATCCCCTGTGTTTTTGGACCCTGACCCCGCGGATCTGCGTGAGGGGTGGCACCGAATTTCAGAAATGTGGCAAATCCCTTGTGTTTTGGGACCCTGACCCCGCGGATCTGCGTGAGGGGTGGCACCGAATTTCAGAAATGTGGCAAATCCCCTGTGTTTTTGGACCCTGACCCCGCGGATCTGCGTGAGGGGTGGCACCGAATTTCAGAAATGTGGCAAATCCCTGTGTTTTTGGACCCTGACCCCGCGGATCTGCGTGAGGGGTGGCACCGAATTTCAGAAATGTGGCAAATCCCATGTGTTTTTGGACCCTGACCCCGCGGATCTGCGTGAGGGGTGGCACCGAATTTCAGAAATGTGGCAAATCCCATGTGTTTTTGGACCCTGACCCCGCGGATCCGCGTGAGGGGTGGCACCGAATTTCAGAAATGTGGCAAATCCCCAGTGTTTTTGGACCCTGACCCCGCGGATCTGCGTGAGGGGTGGCACCGAATTTCAAAAATGTGGCAAATCCCATGTGTTTTTGGACCCTGACCCCGCGGATCTGCGTGAGGGGTGGCACCGAATTTCAGAAATGTGGCAAATCCCATGTGTTTTTAGACCCTGACCCCGCGGATCTGCGTGAGGGGTGTCGATTTCGAGCCCCCCCAGCAATTCAGACAACGCGCCCAGGGGACGCAAAAAATCCCGTTTGGGCCTCCCCCCCCCTCGCGCGGTCAATCATCTAGTTACAGTAACCAGCAAGAAGCAAACCTGTAACACTGGAAACTGCAAGCTACAACTGGTACAGGAAACTGCGAATCACGGGCCTACAGCCTGGTGGCCCCTTAAGGGGGCCGGCGGATATTCACCCGACTCTCCTATGATGGGCCCTTGTTTTGAACAGGGGCACTGCGGTCTCCAAGCCTCCTCCGCGCCTCCCTCCTGGCTCCTCCCTCCTTACCCTTCTTTCTGCCGCCTGCCCCGCCTCTTGACTCGCCTCCCTAGGTGGCTGCGAGCCGCAGAATAGAACTCGCCGCCGACTGGTCCAGCGGAGTGGTGTCCTACGCAGACCCAGATTCGACTTCGTCGTCCCTTGGGGGCTACGAGCTGCGGAACTGTCGCCATATTCGTGGGCTCATTGGAGGTCCAGCGCCGCGGCTGCGAAAGAGTCTCCACTATCGCGAGTTCCTGGGAGGTCGAGCGGAGTGGCCGCTTTCGCAGATCCAGAGTAGACCTCACCGACCGTTGGGGGGCCGCAAACTGGGAGGTCCACCAGAGTGGTGTCTTACGCAGACCCAGATAAGTCCTTGCCGCCCCCTGGGGTTGCCAATTGCGCAACTACCGCCAATTTCGTCAGCCGCGGGGAGGTCCAGCGGAGTGGTGTCTCACGCAGACCCAGATTTCGCCTAGCGTTTTTTGGGGGCCGCGGACCTGTGCAATTGATACCAGTTTCGTGAGTTCATTATCGCTGTCTCTGGGGGGTGCGGCCTGCGCAACTGTCACCACTTGCGTGCGTTCATGGGAGGGCCAGCGGAGCGTTGTTTTGCGCAGGCCCACGTAAGACATCGTCCTCCCCAGGGGGCGCGACCTGCGAAACTTTTGCCACTTTCGTGTGTTCGTGGATGTTGTGCGCAATCACGTGTTTCTGGTGTCTCCTTAATTCAAGTCGCTTCGCGTTCACCGCCCGCCCATTTCTGTTCTCGCCGGACGATGCGAAGACGGTTTAAACGGTGGCGATTCATTACAAGGGATCGCCTTCCATTCGTTCAAATATAACGCCATCTTGAAAGTCCAGCGAGGGCCCAGCCGTAGGCAACAGGGTAATGGCCAGGTAGTGGTACGTGTAAAGGCGCAGCCTGGTCGCGCCAGGGTGGGGCCTCAAGTTCAGGCCCTCGTGGTTCGCTGGCAGGCCGCGGAGGCTTCGCCGGCAATCCGCGGAGGTCTCGTTGGCAGGACACGGAGGCCGCGCCAGCAGGTCGGGGAGGCGTCGTGGCCTCGCCGGCAGGCCGTGGTGGCCTCGCCGGCAGGCTGCGGAGGCTTCACTGGCAGGCCAGGGCATATGGGGTGGCGAAGACGTGCTTAAGGGCTATCGATGGGGTCCGCTGTATGCTCGGGTAACTGCCGTCATAGGAGGTGGTACGGATGAACGGATAGGATGGTCGCGTCAAGGAACGCCGCTCTAGATATGGCTCTGGTCTCTCGCCAGCAGGTTACGGAGGCCTCGCTGGCAGTGCGCGGCTGTTTCGTTGGTGCGCCTTGGAGGCCGCCCTGCAGGCCGCAGAGGCCTCGCCGGCGGGGTGGCCTGGGTAACCGCCGAGGCCAGGCTATAGGGCTAGCGAGGGGTCGGCCGCAGGCCAGGGTGATCGCCATTATAGGAGATGGGAAGGATGAAGGTATAAGATGGTGGCGCCAAGGAGAGGCCGTCTGATTGAGGCTCTCCCTGGCGGCATGCCGGCATGCCGCGGAATTTTCGCCGGGAGGCCGCGAAGGCGTCATCATCGGCAGGCCGCGGTGGCCTCCCTGTTCGGGCGCGGGGCCTTCGCCGGCAGGCCGCGGAGGCTTCGCCGGGCGGCCGTCGGGGTCGTGCCTGCAGGCCGCGGAGGCTTCGTTGGCAGTGTGGCTTGTATGGGCTGGCGAGGACGGGCTCTAGGCGTAGCGAGAGGTCGGAATATGGGCCCATGTATAGGCTGGTCGCGCCAGGGAGTGGCTATCTGGGAACGTCGAGGGCCCTCGTGGCTCGTTGGCAGGCCGCGGAAGCATTGCTGGCAGTCCAGGGTAGCTTTGGCGGCAGGCCGCAGGCCGCGGAGGCCTCGCCGGCAGGCTGCGGGGGCTCGCTGGGGAACCGCGGAGGTTTCGCCAGCAGGATGCGTAAGCCTCGCAGGCCGCAGGGGCTTCGCGTGCAGGACCGCCCGCGTAGGCTGGCCCTGATGGGCTGTAGGCCAAGCGAGGTGTCGGGCTTAGGCGACGGTGATCGCCGCAATAGGGAGTGGCAAGGATAATAGTACAGGCCGGTCGCGCCAGGGAGGGTCCGCCTGGTTGAAACGCTGGTGGCGTGCCGTCAGGCCGCGGAGGCGTTGCTGGCAGGCCGCGGAGGCCTTGCCAACAGGTCTCCGAGGCTTCGCTGGCAGACCGCGGAGGTGTCGCTGGCAAGCTGGTTTGAATTGGGTGGAGTGACGTTAGATCTAGCGCGCGGTCGGCTGCAGGCTAGGATAATCGCCGTCGTGGGTCGTGGGGACTGGTCCAGATGAAGGTCTAGTCTGGTCACGCGAGGGAGTGGCCGCCCAGCAACGCGGAGGACCTGGCGGCTTGCTGGCAGGCCGCGGAGGCCTTGCCAGGAGGCCGCGGAGGCCTCCGCGGCACGCGGCAGAGGCCCCGCGCGCAGGGCGCGAAGGCCTTGTCGGTAGGCCGCGGAGGCGTCGCCAGCAGGCCGCGGAGGCTTCGCCAGAAGGCTGCGGAGACCTCGCTGGCAAGCCGCGGAGGCTTCGACTGCAGGTCGCGGGGGCTTCGCCGCGAGGTCAAGGCCTCGCGCGCGCGCCGCGGAGGTTGGTAACGGGAACGGAGGTATGGGCGTCGC